ATAACATGATACATATAATTGTCAGGATTATGGACTGTCTGTGTTTTTGCTCCGTGTGCTCCGTGACCTAGTTTGCCCGTATGTCTAATTGTTTATTGCTCCCAGGTGTGTCTCGTCAGGTCTAGCTCGTTATCCCATGTATTTAAGTCCCAGTCTGTGCGTTCCGTGTTTGTCAGGTCTTGAACGTCTCCATGTAGGCTACTACGTGTGTCTCCGGCCAGCTCTATTTTCCCCTGAATGTGATAATTAAAGATGTGAGTATCCCTCGTCTCCTCATTTCTCGCTCCTCACAGTAGTGCAACCGTGACAGAAGACCTGACCAAAACAGTTTAATCCGTGTGTTCCCTCCGTTTTTGTTTCCGTTTTTTCCGCCCAGTGTTTTTTTTTCTTCCGTTGTGCCCCATGGATCCCCTCGTCCGTACCGAATACCTCGTCCTCCTGCTGGAGCAGTGGGACCGATCTCTCGAGGACCATAAAAGACTGTTCCTGATGTTAGCTAACACCACCAGCTACCCGGACGACTCGCTCTGCGCATTCTATGATGCTAGATGGTCCTCGAGAGGGCTTCGCCACTTTCGTGGAGTGGACTCTGGCAAGAAATAGATCGCCTTTCACCATCTGTACCGAGGATGATCTCGCCAGATCCACTCCCGACCCAGAGCCCAGTCCACCATCTCCCAGCTGCGCGGAGCATCAGCCTGAGCCCACCACTGATGGAGAGCCAGAGCCCGCCGCGACCGACGAGCCATCGCCAGAGAGAGTGACCGAGCTGAGGATCGCTGCGGAGCCGGAGCCAGAGCCGGTGACGTCAGTCCAGGTGCGAGAGAGGGCTACAACGCCCGCCACGAGGGAGAAGGCCTTGGACAGAGAGAGCGCGGAGAGGAGCTGAACATATTAGAATATTTGAAGCTTCGGAGGGAGGGGGCTGAACATATTCTTAACTCTAACACCATGTCTACAACGGACGCGAATGGTGCAGCGCTACAAAATACTATAGAATTCATTATAATCAGTGATGCTGTCTACACTGGATGCGGCGTGTCGCGACACGACAAATTCCCGACAGAAAACTGCTGCTGCGTTCTATTTATGACGTATTGACACAAATTTCAAATGTTTTTCAACGGTCGCTTTTTCGCGTCCAGTGTAGACAGACTTTAGCTGTTGCGGCGCAGCGTAGCGTAGCGCAGCGCAGCAACTGTCGCGTCCGGTGTAAACACAGTGTAATAAAAGCAGTAATCTCTGTGTGTCTGTCTGTCTGTTTACATTTTTATTATGTCGAGAACCGTTCATCCAATCGACTTCACGCGTGGCAGGTGTGTTGCTGCGGACCCAAGGGAGTGCAGTGTCACATTTTGGTGCAATATTCAGAATTAATAAACTTAATAAACTACAGAACAGTGCGATCCAGAAGCAGCGCCTCGAGAACGGACACTGCACTAGTGATACAAAACACACAGGTCTGTTAAGAGCAATACTTTTAATATAGACAAATTGTTATTAGACTGGGCTACTGTACGTTTTTTTACGACTGCTGTATTCGCAAGTATTTTCCAAGCAAATTAAGTGCACGTTTTTATCATGTGTAAAATTACTGATTAACATGGCGGATAAAAGCAGCTGTTTTTTTTTAAACCAACATTATACTATAGGCATACTACTTACAGAACTCAGGTGATTTTTTAAACTTGATGTGCTGTTGTGGTAGGCCAGTTTCAAATTGCATATTTGGCACACTGCCTTTGTCTTGTCCTCACTCAATTTAAAGTGCTCCCACACAGCTGAGGTCTTCGGCATTTTTGTCTTCTCTTCCAGATGAACTGAATCATGATGTTCAAGACGTTCACTCATGGGCGATTCATATTCAAGCGCGAATGAGAACCGTTTCGTGGGCGATGCCAGGTGTTCGACAAAAAAAAAAAGAATATTAGAATCTCAAAATCGAAAATCGAATGTCAACCCACTGAACAAATATTCGAATAATCGAATATTCTGGTCCAACCTTACTAAGGATGGATCTGGGTTTAGGAGAAGTGGAAAGAGACCTTATTAATTGGTATGCTGACCTGCCCCCTTTCCTCCCTCCTCTGTCAGTGAACTCTGTCCCTCCTGTGCCTGAGTTAAGCCCAGAGAGGGCTCCCGTTCCTGAGTTCAGCCCAGAAAGCCCGGAGGCTCACAAATGCCCGTGTTCCCACCCGCTCCTGCCTCCTCCACCGCTGTCGTCTGGCAGCCCCTCTCCTCGCCCTCAGCCCACCATCTATGCGGTGCAAGCTCCGTGGGACTGCCATCCTCCAGCGTCGCCGTGGCTGGAGTATCCCTTGACTCCGCCTCCAACCTCTAAGCCCCAGACTCCGCCTCGGCCCGTGGACCCGTCGGCTCCACCATAGCTCCTAGCTCCCTCCTTTACGCCGTGGCCCATCAGTCCACTGGCTCCACCGGGCTCCCTCGTCCCTCCGGCTCCGCCTTGGTCTGTCGTCGATCGTCCCTCCGGCCCTCCACTCCTCCGGCTGCATCTCGTCCCTTCGTCCCTCCGACTCCGTCAGGCTCCTTCATCCCTTCGGCTCCTCTTCAGTCCTCTATCGCTCTGGCTCCACCACTGCCTTCTGGATCCCCGCCGGCGCCATCTGCTCTGCCTTGGCCCTCCGGATCCTTCACGTCGCCTTGGCTCATCGGCTCTCCGTCTCCGCCTCGGGCTCCTCCGCCACCTGCTCAGCAGCAGTCAGTTGGCCCTCTGGAGTCGTCAGCCCTTCCTCCACGATGGCTCCACCGGGGTTCGCCATCATGGCTGTGGCCTGGGTCCAGCTGGACTCCTCCTGCTCCAAGTCCCTCCTGTCTCCTCCCTGGCTCCTCCCTCCTTCGTCACCTCCCTGG